TTTAATTAGACCAAGAAGAAATGACAGAAAAGAAAAAATTGTAAGAGCAATAGAAGGATAGAACTGAACTAACATGTGGATCGTTGATAAAAGTTTATATAGGAAGGACTTCAAAGAAATTTCACAACGTGAATCATCGAGCATAAAGTAATTCTGAACTAAAGAAAATCACCTCCACCTGTTTGCCACCGTTTAGAGAATAACTACGATTTCAATATGAACTATGAAAGTTTACATACAGAACATAAAAAATAAATTGAACCTGCTGTTTCTTTCAGAAATCAATAAACGCAAATTCCCTTTTGAAGTACCAGCAAGAAATTATTTACTCACCATTGTCAAACTTGTTTTCATGAAATGCAAGAATTAATTTATTTATAAATGACCTGTTTTTCAAAAAGTGATATTGCATTTTAATTGTTTCTCTCATTACAATTTCACGCTCATTGCCGAATTCACTCTGCGAACCCTCTTGTTTAACCCGAGTCTCTTTATATGTAAATGTGTGAAATTTCAACCGTTCTTTGAGTATCAGTTTCATTAATCCTCATGAGTGATCTTATAGGCTGTGAAAATTGTTTTACTTTGTCTTTCTACAAAAGAAAACTCAAAGTTTTTGGATCGAAGGTAGGAAAACTTCCTAAAAGTCCAACATTTTCCACACAACGGAACTTTGTGATCACTCCTTGTGTAAGTAAATAAAGATGAGCCACAAGAATTTTCCACGTGGGTAATAGAGAAAAATCTTGTCGCCCCTGTTAAATTTCGAAGTTGATCCATCTGAATTGGCAACTCAATAAAACAGTCTCAATTAAACTAGTAACAATTTTAGGCTGATCACTTTAGTTCTAACATACAACTGAAAAATTATTTGAGTTCCTGTGGCCCCAGTGGAAGATTTTTATGTTACGAGTCGCATTCAAAGAACCCAAAATTATTAGTTAGAATCACACTTAAAAATTAGATTCAACTCCGTAAAACGAGCACACGAGTTCCACTACAAAAGTTGCCTACTTCAAGAAATTTTTGTCAAAGGCGATGATGACGATACAAACGACATCAATATCAATTGGGAGTTTGATGGAAAATTTCCCTAAAAAGCATGTGCACGATATTTCCTTTTGAAATTTCATCTAAATCGCTCGATTGAAAACTCAATAAACTTTCTTTCCCTCCTGTCTGCTAAAATTCTTTTCAATACCCTAGAATTGAAAACATCGCACTTCAAGAAAGTTTTGTCAAAGGCGATGATGAGATGTCAAGTTTCATTTCTGAACGCTGTAATTTTTAAATGTGGAGTTCGAATGAACATTCTACAATTTGGCATAAATATTTCTCAAAGTCAAGAACATCCAGAGAATTTCAAAATGAACAAGAAAATCTTGTTGCCATTTTTTTCTGTGTGATGAGCATATCGATATTTCAATAACCCTATATAGGTTAAAACTACTATTAAGTACCACTGAATCCTTAGTTATAGCAACATCAATAACAGAAAAAACTTGTCGTTTTGTTTTTTTTGTTTTTACTGTTGTATTGAATAGTGTATCATGAGAAAAATATTATGAAACTAGCAGACCCGGCCAGGCGTTGCTGTGGCTAAGGTTGTTGTTATATTACATTGTAATAAACTATTTAAGAGGAACGGTAGGAGAACATTAGTCACGGGGACCACCATGATTTTTTACATAGATGCCATTTGTAAAAAAAATATGGCGACCTTCATGACAGATTTTCTACTACCGTAACTCCTTAGTACAATGAAATTATTATTCACGAACGAAGACGGAAACGTTAAAGCTGGTATAAAAATCCACTGGAATGGGATTTGAAGGGGAAGGACTTTGAACTTTTTGAAACTTTCGTTCATTTGATATTGAGCAGAAATCAATACAAAAGAATTGATATTTTTGGTTAATCTGTCACAGATTCGACGGTTTCCCTACATGTGAACATGCAACATATAGTTGCCCATGAGGAAAATATGGATTTTCTAAATCTAAACCACAAATGGACATTGTTTGGCCTTGGAGACTTATTTATAGACATGGCAAAAGCTAAAGGACTTGGAAACTGTAACCTTCTGAAGAGTATGGTAGAATCTGACGGTATCATTGGAATACATGGCAACAGGACCACTTTTCCTTTGAACTTCCCAGTTGAAATGGTTGCTTTAAGAATATTTCCGGTGATCTTTTTGATGATCATATCATGTAGGAGAATAATAGGGGAATCAATTTTCAATCGAAGATTATGTGGTGGCATTTCAGGTATATCTAGTGAATTTAAATATTCAATAAGAAAATTTGCACTTTCATTTGCATCAACAGCAGTATCGATTGATTTAAAAGACATCAGATCGCCTGGTGACAACTATTGTACCTGGAAGTTAATTTCGTCAACATTGTAGCTTGTATGACATTTTTGTAGGTTTAACATAGCAGCGCCATCTATTGATTACTCACTCAATCCAGTCAACAGATATCGTCATCTGTCAAAATCGTTTGAAGTTAACAGATAATTATGAATGTCAAATAATAGAAAAATAATTTGCAATACAATAATATTGCGACTATAAGTTAACATGTATGCTATTCTATCTTTCAAGTTGGATCAAACCGCACACGGTGTGCAAATTTGATCGAAATCGGTTTAGTCGTTTAGGAGTCCATCGCGGACAAACAACGTGACACGTAATTTATATATATTTTTCTGTGACGGGGAAAACATTGACATTTTATCTCTGATGACAGGTAACAAAATGTCACTTTTTATGAAGATACTTTTTTCCCCGGGAAAAAAGTAATCCACTGAGTATAGCACAACACTTGTGATGAAAGTATTACAGATTTACAGTAAAAATATATCACCATAATCACTGAAGACTCCAATATGAACCCATACGTATACAAAAACAATACAATATATTGAATAATGTTTCTTTGTTTGCCAATGGTCTTAGAATAATCAACTCCAATACCTATTGAGAACCTAATTGCTGGTTTTATCATTCGGGATCATATTGTCAACTTGGTATATCTCTGAAAACAGGTTGAGTTCTTGTTCAATAAAGCTATAAGAATCATTTAACATTCCAATGGATTAATTTTTACTTTCATTTTTAAAGCAGATATAGTATTACCTGCAGTAAATGCATGAATGAAAAAGAGATATTTTGTTGTAATATTATGATATTTTTTTGGTATAATTCTTTTCGAATTATTTTATCATACGGTATTATGTGAAGCATTTGAATAGAACATTTTTTATCACCGAGTGCTGAAGCTATAAATAACACCAGCAAAACAATTATCCTCTGGTTCAATACCTACATACATACAATACCTATTTCTCAAAACAATTTGGTTCACTCTTTTTCGCCAATTGTACCTACCTACTTATAAGTAACTTTGTGAAGAGTTTTGTGAAGAGTTAATTTTAACTCGATTGCTTTGTTCCTTTGTTCTAAAATTTACCATATTTCCGGTATAAAAATAGAGAACTAGAACCCCAAAAAGTGTAGATTATATTACGTTAGGTTAGAGCTACTATTATTTGGCATAACTTTTTTTAAAACATCCATTGGGCCAGTTCTGGTGAGTTTAATTTTTTTCTTATTTTATCGGATAGAGTATAACATAGTATTTAGATTATGAAGTGATAGTTTGACTTCGAAATTAAAAATGTTTTATTATTTGAAAAATGAATCGATTGGAATGAATATCGTATGCTTTCCATACAAGATACTGTCGGATGTTGAAGACCCCTAGACAGAAAATATTATCTGTTTAAAAAAAAAAGTGTTCAAAATCTGTTTTTCCGTTAATCATAAGATCTCATCAATGCACTCCACTGTATCTCTATCAATACAACTAGACATTTTAACATTGTCTGTTGATTGTGCTTGAAAAGTTCGCGATCTGTTATGAATTTTTTTCAAATTTTTATTACCCAAAATCAATACAGCTTATATCACTAAACTTCAATGAAAATTTATATCAATATGCTTCATTATGCCGTCAAATGTTTGAAGCTTTCCTGATTATAGCCTTCCAATACGTATTGATCAATGACCGTCTAGAGCAGGGGTCTCCAAACTTTGAAGCCTTCGGGCCATAATGATTTTTTCAGTTTGTTCCAAGGGCCAATTTCTGCCCTTAACTATATTTCTAGACTAGGATAGTCGCAAAGTGCGTGACCTAAGCAAACTTACGCTTTTTTTGCATTTCAATTATTATTGTGTA